GGAAAGAACAACTGACACCCTCTTGGCTTTACAGCTATTTAAGAAATCTATTCTCATTAAAAATGTGAAGATACAATTTAGAAAACTCAAAGAGGTGAGCATCAATGTGAGCATCAAAGGCGCTCATTAAGACAATGTGGAGAAACACTAATGAGAAGTTAGCATTTACTATTTCAGTTCACTTCATCATTTAAAAGGTAAACCTGGTATCTTTATCACTGACACTCAAGGAGCTTTCCTTTTAAGCAATATAATTGTTTACTACAAGAGATCAATTATTTTCAAAATAAAGTAACAATAATTGTTTTCTCAAATTAACAAAATCTTCACTAAAAATCAAGTATTACAGAAAATTTGGCTCTGAAATTTCTGCTCTGTAAATATTTTAGGAAAGAAAAAAAAATTCCTTCAACTAGCAAAGGCCTCCCTTCGTTTCCCTTTTTTAAATTTTGTTCACATGAAAACCCCAAAACCAGCACTCCACTAAAAAATAGCTTTTAGGGAACCCTTACAGAAAAAAAAATGGAAATAACAACAACAAAAATCCAAAAAGTTACCTTTTGCTAGAAAAAAAAATACATTTTCATATATATTTCTCAAAACACAACTTGTCTAATCAGGAGAAGTAAAAACAGCATAACTCTCACAATATAGGGGAGAAAAAAAAAAAGCCCCAGCAGTATAAACAATACAAGAACCTTTCATTAAATTGTGTCTTTGAGAATGGCTGAGTCAGCAGTAACTGCCTAGTCTGTCTCAAAAATTACTACTGTAATTCAGCAGTAAGCCATGTAGACTTTAAATACTTTAAGACAAAGCAAACTCACATTTCCAAAAGCCCTTCTAATTGTACAATTTTTACTTTTTCTACTCTGAAGCTTCATTCAACTCTTTCATTTTTCAAAAGAAGCAGCGGTAGGATTTGCAGAGTCGTCTAAACGCAGTAAAGCAGCAACTGCGGTACTGTTTGAATTCATCCCTTCCATGAGTTCTTCTATGTTCCTCATCAAAATGGGCTGTTTCCTTTTCACACACCCTTTCCAGACTACCATCATACCAGATTATGCTGAAATGTCATAGTTCAACAGTAGGTATGCAAGAATACAGAGTATACCCTCTGTTCACAGTGCATTCAACTTCAGCACAGTAGCAATCAGAAAACTTAAAAGAATACTAAAGGCAGACAAATATTTTTTTTTTATTACCATAAAGAATGCTACTTGAAGAGTAGTTTCTCTTTCACATAAAAGCACAGAGCAACAAAGTTCAAGGAGAGGTCTGATTTCCAGTACAGTATTACCTTGTCATGGACATCCTGCAGTAGATCGCGGATAATCAGTTGTCTGTCCTCAGCCTGTATGAGATCCTGGGGGCAGGCAGTGAGTATAATTTCCACCAGTTGTCTCCATGACTCTAAAGCATGCCTCTTAGCGTGGAGGCACTGCAGCAGCTTGTTCCGCTCCACTACGTACTGCAGGATAGTGTTGATCTCCTGAACACCCATGACAAAGAAATTGAGTTATAATATGCTAAAAGATGTTAATGGCAAAGACAGATTTCAAGATGACAATTTTAGCTATTAGTAATAGTCTTTGCAGGGAGGAGAAGAAAGGTAAGTCTTCAGCTTATCAGAGGAAAAGCTACTATTAATCATTTTAACAGGATAGGCCCATCCATTTCTAAGCTGCTTTTCACAAGGCCTTTCCATTATGAATGTCTCAAGCTTGTATTAAAAAAAAAAAAAATTAATCAGGGAAATGCTTTTCTAACATACACTTTAAAATCAAAACAAAAACAACTATGAAAAATTTGTGCATTTTCTTCCCATTTTAGTCTGAGTCATTTCTCCTTCATCCTTCAACTTTCAAATCCATTTAACCAATTTCAACTAAATTTATAAGATGGCAGGAACCTCAGGAAATAGTTAAGTTCCAAGTTCACTGAAACTACAGCTGTGTAGAAGAAAGGAGAAATAAATTGGCATCCCCTGTGACAGAAAGGCAAGATGAACTTGGCTGCTACACACTGTACTTGTCAACAGCCAATCTTGACATCAGTATGTACTGCTTTCTGTACAGTGGGGTGGGACCTGCAATTGATATCACTAATGGGGAGGGAAGAGGTTCAAGGAAAAAGAAAACAGACTCCCAGTCTGTTGTTTAGAGAACAGTACGTTAAGAAGTAGTTTATCTTATCAAAATTTAATGTCTTTTTTTTTTTCCTCCAGGAATTACCAACTCAAAGTTAGGACTCAAATCCACAAGCTTTCAAAGCTTACTGCTTGACTGTATATGAAATCCGTCAAGGGCAATAACACACAGTACTTTACTTTCTCTATACTTACCTCCATAAGTAAAGGTCTCTGGCCTATTGCTGCCATTCCTTGAAGGGCATTGACTTCTGCAACCAGAACCCTGTGAAGGTACTGAAATTAAAAAGTTAAATAAAAAAAAAAAGCTTTAATGACACAGAAGATGTATTTGTCCTTCCTAAAAGTATTTAGGAGATGCCTACGAAATCACAGAATCATAGAATGGTTCGGGTTGAAAGGGACCATAAAGATCAGCGAGTTCCAACCCCCCTGTCACGGGCAGGGACACCCTCCACTAGACCAGGTTGCCCAAAGCCTCATCCAACCTGGCCTTGAACATTTCCAGGGAGGGGGCATCCACAACCTCTCTGGGCAACCTGTTCCAGTGCCTCACCACCCTCACAGTAAAGAGTTTCTCCTAACATCTAATCTAAATCTACTCTCTTCTAGTTTAAACCCATTACCCCTTGTCCTATCACTACACTCCCTGATAAACAGTCCCTCACCATCTTTCCTGTAGGCCCCTACAGGTACTGGAAGGCCACAATTAGGTCTCCCTGGAGCCTTCTCTTCTTCAGGCTGAACAACCCCAACTCTCTCAGCCTGTCCTCACAGGAGAGGTGCTCCAGCCCTCCGATCAGCTTTGTGGCCCTCCTCTGGATTTGCTCCAACAGCTCAATGTCTCTCCTGTACTGGGGCCCCCAGAGCTGGATGCAGTACTCCAGGTGGGGTCTCATGAGAGCGGAGGGGCAGAATCACCTCCCTCGATCTGCTGGTCATGCTTCTTTTGATGCGGCCCAGGATACGGTTGGCTTTCTGGGCTGCAATTGCACATTGCCGGTTCATGTTGAGCTTCTTATCAACCAACACCCCCAAGTCCTTCTGCTCAGGGCTGCTCTCAATTCATTCTCAACTCAGCCTGTAGTTGTGCTTGGGATTGCGCCGACCCACTTGCAGGACCTTGCACTTGGCTTTGGGGACCTTGCAATTAGCCTTCTGACAGATACAACTGAAGGACTGAGATTCAAGTAAGTTTTACTAAATTTTTAGGTTTTTTCCCATACGTTATTCTCTAAGTGCAATACTTTCAGCTGTCTAGTCTCTCTCCTTGCTCACTGCATTTCTCATTTTTGCACTCATTAATTTCCTTCTGGTCCTCAGTTGTTCTGTCCTTTCATGAGCTCTTCTAACACATCACAATCCCTTTCCTCTTCAACCTCCACTATAGCCCTCCTGCACAAAAGGAAGGGTTTGTTTCCTCTCAAGTCTAAAATACATTTTACAACATAGAATAGCTTGTTCCTAATATGGAATAGCTGCATTCCTATCACTTTTACATTACATTCTGCTCCTGCTCTGTCCCTTGCCTCTCAGACCACAAGTTTTTCAGGGCTATTTATCATACACTTATCAAGCACTCATCACAATGTGACACTATCTTAACTAAAGCCTCTAAGATCTACTGCAGCACACAACTATATTGAGTACATAATTACGTACACTTGTGTAGTACTACATAGTTGCGTACTGAAGACCAATGAAATACATAAGGCAGATGTCACATCTGCAATATCACTTGGGTGTTCCAAGATGGGAAAAACATTAAGATAGAAAATATTTCCTGAAAGTGCCTTAAACTGATGCATCTGTCTACTTCAAATGAGAAATAAGCATGTGCAATGCAGAAAAAGAAATAAACTAATCGAAATAGTTTGCATGTTATGCACATGTCTGAAACAGCTATACTTTTTATGTGCAAGCAAGTTTGAAAGTATTATTAATACACTGATAATTTTATTGTTGTTATTAAGATACAAAATAGCACATGCAACTTGAGAACACAGACCACTGCGCACCTTGACATTGCAGACCACTTGTCCACGTGCGTTCTTGTGCTCACAATTAGCAATGACTTGTTCAATCTGAACTCGGTCAAAAAAATCCAGCTGTAAAGGCTCTGGAATGTCCTGACTGAAGTCAATTGAATCCAGGATACTTAAGATCTTCCTGCGTACTGGAAATATACATCAATTCAAACTGTATTCAGAAATATCAAGGGGAAAACGAAAACAATTGACAATGGGAGCCTAACTTACCTTTATAAATCCAAATCTTAATGTGTACAGTTTCAAAAGAAAATATTAAATCTTCAGAAAGTGCCATCAATCTATATAAGGGTCTTAAAAATATTTTTAGAGCCTGAAATCCTTAACTTGTGTTATACTGTATTGTTCTCCTGTTATGTATGCATGTAATCCAATATTTACAAATACAAGATTCTATTTTTTTTCTCCTAAATAAAAGCAGGCTGGTTTTCAATGAGAACCATGCAGTCCTTTGTTGAGACTTAGAAACATGGTAAGGAATCTGAAGTTTTTTACTTGGGGTTTATATTCTTTGCCATGTTCAGCCTTAGCAACAGTCTCCCTGCTTTTACTGTTAGCAGTAAATTTATAGACTGCCACCCTCCCATTCTGCCCTTCCACAGATACTTAAATACAGACTCTTCTAACTTCCTTTCCAGTCCAGTATTTTCCACTCACTCCACCCATCTACGTCAAGGTTCTAAAATTCATTTTTTTCCCCACACTAAATAAAACTGTTCCATGTACTGCTGCTGTTTAGACAGTCTATTATTTTATTTTTCAAAGTGTACTTTCTAGAGGCAGCTCTCTCCCCATTCAGTATCAGAAAAACTTTACTGAGAAATAATCAGCAGGCATAATATGCTTACCTTTGGAAGCAGTGTCGAAGTGGAGAAACCCACTGACTGATCGACTTTCATCTTCCATCCCTCCTTCACCATCAGCTGAAGGTAATGAAACAGAATAAATAAATTATTTTTAAAAAAATTAAGAGAAAAATACCACCTACTGAAAGAGAAAGACAGAGCACACACTGACAAACCTTTCACATGAAAGTCTAATACAAATACAGCTTTGAGTGTTAATAAAATGAAAACAATACTTATCTCACAGAAGTTAGCCAATTATTAAGTACGGATTAGACAGCACTAGAAATGCCTAAAAAGACACCCCGCCCTACAGTATGAATAATGCAGTTGAACTTTGCAGTTGAATAATGAACTTTGTAAAATGAGTAGGGCATCTGGACAGTTTTCCATATTCATATCTCCATAAGGATGGAGAGATAGCATTCAGACCTATAAAAGTGAGTAGGAAACATCATACTGCTGCAGCCCATGATACTCTGATATCTTCCAGTTATTCTCTTTATTTTCTTTACCTAAAGAGATTTATCGTCACCTGTTTCCATTTCTCTTTATTCACTTCTACTCTCTTCTGAAACTTTGAAATCTTGTCTTTTTATTTAACATCACATTTTACATCACATTAGAATGAAATATCATTGTGATGTTATAATGCCAAAAGCCAAGTTGACCTGTAGCTACTATCTTTTGTGAGAGACAGTTGAAAATATGTGACAGACAGAAAGAAGTCAAGACTGAGAAAATTTTGTATAAAATTATTACTAAAGACGACCCTCCACCTCTCTACACATTAACAACTATGGATTACATTCTAAAATAAATTATTTTATAATTTTAATTATATTCCCCTCTCCTACCGCATAAACTATGTTTATTTTTTTCTATCAGTGTATACACTGAGATGTTTCAGAAATGAAACAAAGACAAAACAGCAATGAACAAAAAGATGCCTTGATTGCTTTCATTTTGGAGTCTACAATCACCATCATCTTTCTTCCCATCTCTCCAATGGCAACTGCAGACACAGTATCACAAATGAAGTGTCATGAGCTTATAGAGAAAAGAATTCAAATAAAGCCCCTCATACTCCCATTTATTCAAGCTTATTTGTGTCCTCTCAATAAATCCCTCTTACCCAAGTACGGTTTCACAGGCATGTCATCAAGCAGCAGATGCAGCAGTCTCTGTGTGTGGGAGCGCTGGCGGTTCACCGATGTCACTCGCATTTCTATAGCCGCGGTCTTCATCAGCCAAGACATTTGGTTCAGTGTTGAAATCTCATGTTCTGGATGAGGATAAGGAAACAATTACAATATTGAACATAAATAATACGACTTAATCCAAGGAAAGCATTTTTCATTGGAGAAAGTTTTTAGAGGATGTCATTACTTATTATCTGCCCATCATTTGTTTACAAAAGAAGGACAGAGATCTGACAAAAGTCATTAAATGAACATATGGTTATTGTGAAAACAAATCATACACATACATACAACTAAGAGTATACACGTACACAAAAAAATCTGGATATAACCCATACTAACAGTCATTGTGGAGAATGCAGTGCTTCATGAACAAATAGGGTCAGTTAAAGTTCCAGTGAAAATAATCAGACATTTACACAAAAACAACTATAATCAAAGTTGATAAGGCTGGAACATGGGTCTCTAAGAACCTTCATATTCTATATTTATCTAATTTAGATTGTTACGTTATATAAGAATCATCTAACATGCTTTACCCATTCTGGATAAATATATTTGAATGCTAAGTTTACTATCACTTAAAGGACTAGTGGTCAAGCATCTGATAAACTCAATAAATGTACTTATTCACTTTAAGACACCTGAGAAATGTTGGTCTGAAACATTAAAAACACATCTGTTAACTTAAAAATTAATGCCATCACCAAATAAAAGTTCTTTATTCAAAGGAAGAGAAGATAGAGGTGGTTACAATCACCAGCCTTCAATTCCCTGAGTTCTTTGTAGCATTCCTACTTTTAAAAATATAATTTTTTTTCTGTAATCTAACAAAACTACAATGATAATTGAAATATTGATTAGGATTTGCTTCTGGAGAATTGATGCATTCCAAAACTAACATTCTTTTACAAGAGTTCAGCGCTGGTAATCTGAACTTCCTAAATAGGCAGGGTTCAATCTTTGCGGAATTAAAAGGTTAGCAAAGCCAGTAACTAATTCAGTTTAATAATGCTACCTACATTTCTCCTGTGATTCCTAGGAAGTCAAAAAATGCATTGAATTTTAAGCATGTGCAATCTTATCTTAGCATAAAAATTACCTTTGATAGAAAATGGCAAATACTGCAGCTGAGTGAATAAGAAATCCTGACTGGTCCTCAGATATCTCATAGTTGGACCTGATGTGTCAGAGCATGCACACAACTGATAGATCACCTGACAATTAAAAACAGTAGATATCCATTTATGGTTAAAACCAAACCATCCACCAAATCAAAAGATGCATAACACTATTTTACAGCTCAAACAATCTTACTATAAATACAGGTAATTTTTCCATCAGCTTACTCCAAAACCGAATATATTATTTATAACAGATGTTGAATTATGACAAGGACTTAAAGGACTACCTACCAGCATGTGGATGATTACAACAGCTATTTGCCCGCAACATGCCACTATATAAGTCTTTTTGTTTGTTCAGCTCACTTAAAAATGAGTGATTTTTTCAGTCTCCAGGTTCACCAATGCAGGAAGCGTAATTTTTTTTTTTTTCCCCTCCTTCTACAGTATGGCCACTTTCATTTTTAATAATGTTTGAAATCTTTTCTAGATTCCACAGATTTTCAACAAGATACAGGTATGTAATTATATGATTATATGACTTAAGGCCAAACATCAGCTGCTTTGCACATACATCCAATTCAGCTGTCTTCCCCATCTCACCCCCTCAGACATACATATATACATTATGTCACTGCTACGGAATAAAGAAGAGAATTTTGTTGGTTTCTTTGGGATTATTTGTTATCTTACTTGCTGGTAAACTGCAGTTCCAAAAATAAATTTAAAAAAATGGCACATGGTCACAACAGATTCAAAGGCTCACCAAAAATATTTAGATTATTAGTTTTATAAGTATATCCCAATTCCAAGCTCTGACATGAGTGTAGATTCTTTATTTTCTGTGTTGCTACAAGATAACGCTTTTTCACACAGAAAAAGTTTGAACAGAAAGAGTTCAATGCATATAAAAGAATTGACAGATGCATTTTAAAAATGAAACTATTATCAAAATCATCAATCATCTGTGTTCACCAATGAAGAAGTAGCTAATTTTATTTAGAGCTTACTTTCAGCATATGCAAACAGAAAACATGCTGAATACCTGGTAGCAGAGTTCTGCTAGATGAGGAGACTCCCGAACTGCTGTAGGCCCATTCCTTGTTTCAGTACCCTTCTCCAATATGTTCAAAATAGCATGAAGGCAAGTTCGTGGGCAACCCAAGACACCTTAAAATACCAAAAAAAATCTAAACATTCTTGATTTTACTTGCCTCCATGGAAAATATAGGTTAGTACACAGAATTACAGAAACTAAATTGTTTAGATACCTTGTGCTGCATTATACTGCTCCACAGAGCTACAGCAAAAATATCTGGCAAAGTTTTTTAAAATAAAAGCAGAAACTGTTTTTCAGCAAAAATCTAACTACAAAAGTTTTCATTAGTCTGTAGGATTTTGAGATGCTGGTGAAAGACAATAAATTATGCAATCAAAACTTATTTAAGATCTTTCTCTTCAGTTCTATAAAAAAAAAAAAAAGAGATTCAATTTATTTTTTAATATTCTGCACGAACCGAATGAAAATTTTAATTCTTGCTCTTAAACTTTGAAATTGTCAAATAAGTATCCAGTTAAAAAGCTTTAAATTCCAGTCTTTATTTTACAACTACAGCTACTTTATGACTAATGCTCCTAAAGGCACCTAACACTGCAACCAAGGGGAAGGGGGAGGAGATTTTAATACTGAAATAAAAAATACGTCTTTTTGCATTCTTCCTTTAGCAAATTAATTCTTTAATCAACCCAGAAAGATGTCCTGAAGCAGTAAAGGCATTAATAACCACAGTTCTTACAAGGGAAATCATCTCCTCTGTTGGGACACTAATTTATGCTTTAGTAGGAAACTATTATCTTGAGGCAAATGGCTTATAGTCATTATTTCTTCACATTATTAATGGGATAATTCAAAAGACGTGTTCAAGGCTCTCTCACAGCTTTGAGACAAAGTCCCCTACCACTGACCTAACATATGATACCCTGTAAAACTGGGTGGGTGCAGATCAGTTACCTTTATTCTGTAACTATGGAATTTCAAAATATCCAAAACATGCTCTGCAATTGTAAGCTACTTTGAAGGTGAAGAAAAAAAAAAAAAAATGTTGGCATCTTTTTTTTTCATCTTTCTGATATATTAAATAACTTTAAGACTTTTTTCCCAAATAAAATTCAGGTCCTATCTACCTTTCATTTAGAACTATGAAGGGCTAAAGACTGCTGAGCCACAGCGTCCAACACAAACCTGGAGATAATGAGAAACATTCTTCTCTAAATAGCTAAACTCAAATGTTTGTTCAAACATGTTCATATAAAACATCCTTTAAAACAGTTAAGAAAGAATCTCATCCTTCAGATTGGAAAGGACTCCAGGATGTGTCAACTCCAAACTACTACTCAGTCATGATATCAGACTAGATTGTTCATAGCTTTATACAGTTGGGTCTTGAAAACTTCCAAGCATGAAGACTGCATGACCTCTCTGGCCAACCCACTCCACTGCTTCACTGTCATCATAGTGAAAAAGTTTCTCCTAGATCCAGTTGGGCCTCTCTTGTTTCAATTTGGGACATGGTTTAGTGGGACTTGGCAGTGTTAGGTTTATGGTTGGACTCGATGATCTTAACGGTCTTTTCCAACCTAAACGATTCTATGATTCTATAATTTATGCCCACTCTCTGTCATCTTCCTGCCACACACCTCTGAAGAGCCTGGCTTTGTCCTCTCATTAACCTCTTTGCAGGTATTCGAAGACTGCTATTAGGTCCCCCCAAAGCCTTCTCCTCTCCAGGCTGAAGAAGTCCCATCCCCTCAGCTTCTCCTCAGAGGTCGAGTGCTCCAGCCCCCTGACCATCTCTGCTGAACTTGCTCAAGTTTATCAATGTCTGTCTTGTACTGAATACAAGTTAGAAGCTGAGGAGGCAAACAAGACACATACTAACACACTATTTTTTCTCACCAATTCAAGAAACATTAGCAACGTCACTCCTGTTGCTTTAAAGTTCATATTATCATATATATATTATGAATACATAAATATATTAATATACCTAGCAGTAGAATGAAAACCCACATATTCTAAAAGGTTTTCTTTTACAACATTAAAGAGTAAAACTGGTTTTTTTCCCTATACTTAATTTTAAACAGGAGGTTGAGGAGGGACAGGATAGTAGTCAAGTAGTATAACTAGTTCAAAGTGACAATCTGCTCTGTAGATTCCCATGCTGTCATAGGTAACAGATTTCTTTGTACTGTGGACACAACTACACTGCATAAAATAGTAAATAAATTAAGGTTTCATTTCTAAATTATCATTTTCCCCCACAACTCTAATTTCAAGTTTGTTCCAAAATCCGACTTAAAGGATCAAATCCTGAAGCTGTTTAAATGCTGCATTTGGATATCAACATATCTTTCAATTTAGCTTTTAAGGATTAGAACAAGGCCTGTTGTTTTATTCTTAATCTTAAGAGGAACTGCTTCTCCCCATGAATTTTCCAATAAATATTCTCAGTGTTGGTAACAGAACTGATTAAATGCTATGTCCCCATTAACTTTTCCTCTTCATACCTGGATCTTGCAGATTTGTAGTGCTGACAGGTTTCTTTAGTTCATATCCCAAGAGATACAAAGCAAGGCTGGGAGGACTACACTCAAGAGAGGTGATAAGGAGATTCAGAATATGGATCCTTGTTTCGTGATGGATTCGTGCCCGCTTCTTTTCAGGCTCCAGCTCTTGATTTAAAAAAAAAAAAAAAAAAAAAAAGAAAGATACGAGGTGAATAATGAAGAAATCCATTTAATGGAATAATCCTCAGAGCCTTTAAGTTCAATACAAGAAAGCTAAGGCATCAACTTATTTTAGCATAGAGGGATACAAGAACTAAATTTCAAATTACTATTAATACAGCTCTAAATAATACATCCAAAACAATGTTAGGTACTCGTCTTCTTAAAACAGACTCAGTTTGTAGTTGGCTCATCATACTATGAACATATCTTAACAAGACATAGGTGCTTTTCATGCTGTTAGAGGTCCAATTCTACAAAAAACAAGAAAGGGTTTTCTGACTTAAAATCACTTTCTTCACCTCCTTCATTAATGTCATCTACGCAAAAGACAACAGTGTAAGTCATTATTAAAAAGCTTTTTACATACCCTCATCTGGGTTTATTAATTCTTCTGCATCTTCATTGTCCAAACATTCCACAAACCCAGCCATCAGCTTCTGGCTAATACTCTGTATTCAACAATGAAAGGAAGGAAATGAAGAGGATTTTAAGATTATTGAAAACAATACCTTTCATAATTCCCTCCATTTAAGTTGATACAAGTTCTAGACAAAAATTATATAATCTAGTTAATAAGCAGGAGTTAAGAGTCATAGCTGTTCTAAGCATAGGTTAGTAATTAGCCACTGAACAGAAAAAGAAATAATCTACTGTTGTTACATATGCTAAATTGTCCCCATAGGTTAAAGACTATAAAGTCAAGAAGTAGTTTTGGTATCTAAAAGAATATTGTCCTTTTCCTTCTTGCAAACATTCATGATTTTGTTGTTTGTTTGTTTTTTTTTTCAGTAATGAAGTAGTTGCTTTTCACAATGCCACTGTAAAAGACTTAGAGCTAAGTAGACAAAATACAGTTTTAATGTACTTTATCTAGAAACCTATCCTTTAAAGCACCTGTATTTCTCCACTAGTTTCTGTTTCCAGATCCAAAGAAAGGGGTTACCTGATCATGTGTGAAATCACCAACTAGCTTTATCTGGATGTTGGAATTATAAGAAATACAGCACAAAATCTTGGCACTTTCAAAAGCCAGTTCTGGATTGCTGTTTCCATGATAAAGATACCTTCAAAAATACAAGATTATTGTAATGAAATTGTTGAGAATTTTACTGTTTCAGGATGGTAATGTACAGATGAGAAATTAAACAACATTTAGAACATTTATAAATCAAACTACATGAGAAAACGTTAAAGCTACAAATAAAATTTAACACTATATGAAGCACTTAACGCTACTCCATCAAAAGGAGGGCAATAGGCTGAGTAGTGATAATAATCCCTCCTGAAATTTTTTCCATTCTTCTTATCCAAAGTCTACCTCAAAAACTGCAGGATAAATTAACACAGCTGATCAGAGGCTCACACAAGAAACAGAGAAAATACCTTCAGATCACATAGAAATGAACATCACTGAAAACCAAAACTAGCTAAAATCAACTACTGCACATACCCAAAATAGGCAAGATTAAAAAAAATAATTTAAAAACATCTTAAAGGGCATGCTTTTTCTTAAACTATTTGTCGACTACTGTTACATGAAAAAAGTAATATAAATGAAAGACAAAAACAGGTATATAGAAAGAGTTTAACTTTTTAGCTCATTCCATGTCAGAATATCACTGCATTTTATGGATTCGATTCTACTATTCATCTATGTTGGCCTGTCTGTAAAGTTACTATAAAATCAAACAGTAACAGAAGGTGTCAGTGGGAAGCGGAAATCCTAAAGTTTCACATTTGAAACTGAGTTTCAGATTACTAGTCTGATACTTCCAATACAGTAACTAATGGACAATTTAAGTAGCAACCAAATGAAGTTTTACTCTCTCACTCTATGACAACCAAAATCTGGGGCAAATTGAATATTATATGCAAAAGAATCACTGCACATACAGCAACCAGGAAGAAAAGACGAGGGTGAAAAAATAAATTAAAGAAATGCAGATCCCAATCTTGCACTAGACCATACACAGATCATACCACCTGTGAAGACACCTCCCCCCACAAAAAAATTTTCAGAGATGCTCTGTGCAAAGAGAAGCATTGACTAGTAAAACTAATCAAAGGACCAGGATCCAAACATTTCCATGTCTCCAAAACTCCTCCCCTCTCAGTACTTTGCACATACCTAGCGATATTCACCACATGATCTGCCTTTTTAGTGCGAGGATTGATTCCTTGAAGCAGCTGCTCCAGTGGTGTGACAATAAGGGAAAGGTGGCTCTCCCGCAACAGATCCATAAAAAGATTCTCCTTCTGTAGGGTTAAGTTTAGAAGCGCAAGGCAATACTGTACAGCTTTCTCTAAATGCTTCTTCCCTGCAGTGCACAAACAACAAAGAACCATAAGAAAAACAAAGGAGCAGTTAAATAGACTACATTCATAAACCTCATTCATCAAGCCGTGCACCAAGAACGAACTTGTCAGTTGTTTACTACTAGGAAAATTTCCCACAAAACATATTATTCTATATGCAAGAGAAACAACATTAAGTTGAAGATACGCAGTGTCAGCTTTAAATTCTACTTAGTATGCATTTTAACTTCACATGAAAAATAAATTCCAGGCACATACCAGGAAACGGAGCATAAGTATCAAGCTGCTTAACCCCTTCTTCTAGCAAACTAAGGGACAGTTCCAGCATGGGGGACTCATTCAATAGATGATACATCAAATTGAATCCAGGTGGTTTATATGCTATTATTTCTTCTCCTGAAAAGAGAGAAAGGGGAAAAAAAAATTAACATCTAATGGAAAAAACTTCCATTACTAAAGCTAGCCTGAGCTAAAAACATAACAGTCCTTGTTGTTGTAAGCAATGTCTAAATAGATGAAACATATTGCATAGAAAGTCTTCAGAGGTTTTCTTTACACATTACTCATTTAGGTAATTTTAGAACTTTGGGAAGAGTAGTAATGGCAATTACCATTACTTTTCAATATCTAATAGCACAATGTCAACATTAACCTGTTAAGACTTTCCCTAAGTAGATCTGACCTTGGATTCAAATCAATACTACGACTGTGTATCACAGTGGAGCTACATTAATCACAGAATGGTTTGGGTTGGAAGGGACCTTAAAGATCATCTAGTTCCAACCCCCCCGGCCATGGGCAGGAACACCCTCCACTAGACCACGTTGCCCAAAGCCCCATCCAACCCAGCCTTTAACACTTGCAGGGATGGGGCTGCCAGAACTTCTCAGGGCAACCTGTTCCAGTGCCTCACCAGCCTCACAGCAAAGAATTTCTTCCTAACATCTAATCTAAATCGACCATCCTTCAGCTTAAACCCATTACCCCTCATCTTATGACTACACAACCTTGAAACAGGCCCTCTCCAGCTTCTTGTAGACCTCCTTTAAGTACTGGAAGGCTGTAATTAGGTCTCCCCAGAGCCTTCTTTTCTCC